AGCTACATATACTCAGCCCATAACTTACATCTTTTTATTCTTCAATATTCTCAATGACAAGAAAATGACCAAATATGCTAATGATTCAAAACCTGAATTTCTTTTTTGATTTAATTATCTAAATTCATAAATGCATATGTTAGATTAAAATATGATTGATCGCCACATTGACTTAGCATAATCAAGAAACAAAGATGGTAAATTTTTAAAACAGGTATAAAATTCTAACTTAAGAAGAATCTAATTGGGGCTGTGGCTCAGTGGTAGAGTGCTTGCCTGGTATGTGTAAGGCACTGGGTTCGATTCTCAGCACCACATATAAATAAATAATAAAAAAAAGGTCTATCAACAACTAAAAATAATATTTAAAAAAAAGATGAATCTAATTTAGGTATTTAGGTACAGTATATTTCTATATGCTCTATAATCCAAAATAATCAATTTTATTTAGAATTTAAATTTATCTCAATGAATACTATAATGTTCTATTTTTTTCTTCCTCCAAGCTCATTTTAACATATGCATGTTCCAAAAATTCAAGTTAGCCTTGCAGCACCTTCTTCAACTTCTATTACTTAAATTATATGAGGATACATGACATATACATATACAATTTCATGCACTGTATATTACTACCCTCAAATACTATTTTCAATTAATTTCAAAATTAGTTCATACATTGATTTCTATGAACAAAATAGAAATGTAAAACATCGATGCCTAACCTCTTGATTTTCTACTCCATTGCTGGAAAGCTCCAAAACAGAACCTCCATTGTCAACCACTGCTGATGTCATTGTTTACTCCCTGAGGAAGCTTCAACTTCTATGAATCAATGCAATTATAGGTTCACAGATGATTGCCAATGTTATAAGTTTGCATTATCATATTTTAAAAGTCAATAGAGATGGAGTAGAGTAGTTATCCAGAAATCCAGTCTTCTAAAGATGATTAACCATAGAGCCTAAAAAAAGGAAGAATTTGAAAGTTATAAAAAATACACAGGAAAGATATAAAGTATAATTTAGTTTGCAATTAAATTTCTAACACTGGTTTAACTAAGAAAAAGAGGACAGGTTTCTACATCTCTATGTCAATAGAGGGCACTAATGAGCATTCTACATCTTAAGAGTTTAAATTCAAGTTCATGAACTCGCTGAATAAATTTTTAAATTTTTACGAAGCTATTGTATACAGATGATATGGTTATACACTTCAGGAGATAAAATGTTACATCTTTATCCCTTTACAAGATGTAATTTTATTACATCTTAAATTTTTAAAAATACTTTATGCATTGAATATATAAAATGTGCTGGACCAAGACTATTTCTAAAACTTTTTACCTATTTAACAAATTAAAATGTTAGTTTTAAAATATGCATTCTATCCTTTGGCTCACTTGGTTTGTTTGTTTGAATAACATAATTAGAACTGTTTTTTGCTTATAGCAGCACTCTCATTTAGTATTCACACTGCATACACTATAGAATTCTAAGAGTAATTTGAGTTTCTTATACTTTCAAATAAAGTAGTTTAAAAATAAAATAGTGAAACCAAGCTGGCCATGGTGGCACACGCCTGTAATCACAGAGGCGTGGGAGGCTGAGGCAGGAGGATCAAGAATTCAAAGCCAGCCTCACCAAAAGTGAGGCACTAAGCAACTCAGTGAGATCCTGTCTTTAAATAAAATAAAAAATAGGGCTGGGTATATGGCTTAGTGGTCGAGTCCTCCGGGTTCAATCTCTGGTACCCCCACAAAAAGGAAAACATTTGGAATGCCTTTGTTATTATTTTATTATTTTTTTTGGGGGGGGTAATGTTTTGCTAACAGTTAAAAGTAAAACGTAACAAATTGTTTCAAGCAATCTTTTATCAAACCTCTTAAGCTTTTTTTCCTCTTGCAGAAATAAATGATTGTGTGTATCATCTGCAATTATTCAACAAACTATTCCTAAGTTACTCTTATTTGATTTTGTATATATTAAGCTTTTCATACAGAAAAAACAGTCCAAACAGAATATGTCAAAATTAAAGAATGTAGAAAAAAACAAGCATATTAAGATGGAAAAGAATATATATTCCTAATAAATATTATGCCTTTACATGAAACTTGACTACTGCATCATATATATGTAAATAAACTGATAAAGAATTTCCATAAACTTTTACAATAAAATTGAATATCTGAAAAAAAAAAGAAGAAATTTCATCTCACTACCTCAGAATGATTCAATACCGTCAGACTTCTTTTTTAATCTCACAAACAAATGAAACAGGAAGTTTTCTTGTATCTTAAGAAAATCTAAATAAATTCCAGTCCCATCATACTGACATTTGTTGTTGTTATATAAGGTAATGACTATTTCAAAATCTGTTTTCTTAAATATATACATAGTAATAGTAAAAATAAAATTACTTACAATTCGAATATTAAGTAGTCTAAGCATCCTTCACTATTTTCACAACTTGGCAAGAGCTAAAACCTGAACCAGCAGTTCTTTGAACTACTAGTGGGAGAGGAAAAAAGAGAATATTAATATAATCCTACCAAAAAATATTTTGCCCAAATACGTATGATTTAGATAGTATAAATTTATTAAAACAAATCATATCCAAAATTTGGTGACAGACATTTATTTGAACATGATAAAAAAAAATTATTTCTGGGTTTAGTAGAATCTTTTATCAAATTTAAAATTTTAAGTCACCACTAAACAGCAAGTGATTAAGGACACACCCAACATACATGTAGCCCACACCCCATATTATGAGCTACATTTCAATCAACAGCAGGATTTCAATAATGGCTGTAAGCATAACTCCTGCTGCTTAGGAACATGAAATCCAACTTTAAATAAAGAAAACAAGCTCCTAAACCCAATATGAATGATATACGACCATCACTTAAGTCATCTTCCTGCAACCTAACTCCCTAGACTTAGCAACAATAACTGTCTAAATACCCACCTCCTCAAACACCCGCTTCTTTCTGTTAATCTATGCAGTGACTCTTGAGCCTTGCCCCATCAATTATTCCCTTTTCCCTTAGCCTCTAACTTAACACTGCCTCCTTTTGTTCAACATATAAACATTTAAAAGACCCACTCATTTTTAAAATAGAAACGTCCTCTTTGAATATCCTGCCTACCCCTCCAACTACTGCTCTAGTTTCTTCCATCCTCAGAGAAAGTCCTAGAAAGTAATCAGCTCTTTTGCATTCTAACCCCAACTGAACTTTTTACTCAATTCTGCTTTTCTAGTCCAATGGAAACATTTTTTCATAAGACTTGATGCCTATGAAGCATTTGACACTGTTTATCTTTCCCTCCTTAAAACTTTTATCTTGAACTTATTTTTTCCTTTCTGCTCCTTTTCATTTTCTTTTGTAGGCCCAATCCTGCTTTTTAAGGGCTTGGGGCAAAAGTATAAATGGAATCCTATATTCCATGTCTAAATATTTTAAAGTTATAGGTCAAATTAAAAAGCTGCTAAAATTATTATTCTTTCCTTCTATCTTGACAAACATACTCTATAACAACGTGATGACCAAGTTCTGATTTTGAATTCTCAGACTCCCTCAAGTTCTGTAGGGGCCTGGGAAGTCATAATGACTCCCCTGGCCTACAGCCTTCCCTGTCCCTTTTCACTTCCACCTTCAGTTCTACTCCATACCAGAGGCGTTAGATGCAAGCATGTGGTTATCCCAGCCCCACATGTCCAAGGTTTCGATCACAGGCCTGCAAACAGCTGCTCCTTAGCCATCCCTTAGACCTAGAGAAGACCATACACACTGTGTGGTTCAGTTGACAGAGGAGAGAATTAGGGAAGGTACCTATGAAGGAATACTAAGAAGAGAATTCTGGAATCCAAATAATTAAAAATTTGACCAAGAAAGAGACCAGGTAAGACTAGTCCCTTGACTCCTCAACATCTTAAGGTTATGGTGAGGTATGTAACTGGAGGACGACCTGCTAAGGATCTCTAAACAATAGGGCCTAAAGCAGAGTTCCCACATGCTAAGTCTAAGGACAGTGCTGCTCCCTGGTCAACCGTTACATGTAGGTGTTTCCAGAATCCCATCCCTTGTTCTTTTATCTTCTGATTCCTTATACCCTTTTTCCCTCCTTCTTTTTGGAGGGGTGGGTGTAACCAGGGATAAGAACCCAGGGATGTTCGAACCAGGGCTAAAAACAGCCATACCTCACCTCTTTTTGAGACCATTAAGTTGCTAAGAACCTCATAAAGTTGCTGAGGCTGGCTTTGAACCTGTAATCCTCCTGCCTCAGCATACTGAGCTACTAGGTAAAGACTTGTGCCACCACACCTGGCTCTTTTTTTTTTTTTTTTTAATTCTTTTTAGTTATGACACAACACCAGGATACACCTTGACATAATTACGATAGCCTGGAACCTAAAGTGCTGTTCCACACTTCCCCACCTCAGCTCCCCTCCTTCTACTTCACTGATCCCTCTTCAACCACTTACAGTTTATTTTTAATTAGTGTCCTATGGATACACCTGATGCAAGGATACACTATGCCACATCCATGCATGCACATACAAAAAGTTCTGTTCTTCTCCGTTCCTTCACCTTCTTCCTCAATCTCCATTGTCTACTCTACCAATCATTCCTCTATTTTAATGAAATTCCCTCTCCCCTCTTTTTTATTTCCTCTCTCTTTTTTTAAATTCTCCTACCCCACGCCTTATCTTCGGATTAGTTTCTGCATATCAGAGAAAACATTGGACCTTTGACTTTGGGGGATTGCCTTATTTCACTTGGCATGATAGCCTCCAGTTCCATACATTCACTTGCAAATGCCATAATGGCATTCTTTATGACTGTGACTCCTTACACTCCTAAGATATGACATATATTCCTATGACTTCACTCAAATCTCTCTTCCAGTCTAAACCATTCCCATGGGCTCTTGTCCACTAGGAAATTTCTCTTCTATTACTTTGTGAAATTAGAGTATAAATAAATATTAAGCATCTATTCCAGGATAATCAAACACTCTATTCATTAACTAAGCAATATCAGAAGCTAGGACAATTTTAGTTGCCAGGGGTACAGCAACAAATAAAGGAAAAAAACCCCTCTCCTTATGGATCTTACATTTCAGTTAGAGGAAAGAAAATAAGCAAAATATGCAGCTCATAGATGGTGATAAAAGTTAAGGAACTAAATGAACCACAAGGACAGGAAACATTCAGCAGGGAGAAAGTCTGCCATTTCAAATTGAGTGGCCAGAGAAAGACTTCCTAAAAATGTGACACATAAGTAAAACCTGAGTTCAGAGTTATCACATTAGTAGATCCAACTATCCGTTTTTCAAAAGGCTCAGAAAGAAACAGGAAAACTTGGCCCATTCAAAGAGACAAACATAAAATCAGCAGAAACTGTCCCGGAAAAAAACACCTGATGACTGATCAACTAGACAAAGACTTTAAAGCAACTGTCTTTAAAATTCTCAAACAACTAAAAGAGGATGTGGAGCCTATAATCCCAGTGGCTCAGAAGCTGAGGCAGGAGTATCCCAAGTTTAAAGCCAGTCTCATCAATTTAGTGAGGCTCTAAGGAACTCAGCCAGACCCTGTCTCTAATAAAATATAAGAAAGGACTGGGAATGTAGCTCAATGATTAAGCACCCCTAGGTTCAATCTCTGGTACCATAAATAAATAAATAAGAAAAAGGGCTGGGGGTGTGGTTCATTGGATGAGCACCCTTGGGTTAAATCCCCAATATAAAAAAAAAAATTAAATTAAATTGAAAAAAAGATGTGGAGAAAGTCAAGAAAATGATATATGAAAGGGGGTAAATATGAGTAGAGACAAACAAAATTAAACAGAAATCAAATGTAAATCAAATCTGGAGCTAAAATGCATAACCGAAATGAGAAATTCACTAGAGCAATTCAAAGAAAGATTTGAACAGGCAGAAGAGTCACGGAGGGTGCTGGGGATGTGGCTCAAGCGGTAATGCGCTCGCCTGGCGTGCGTGTGGCCTGGGTTCGATCCTTAGCACCACATACAAACAAAGATGTTGTGTCCGCCAAAAACTAAAAAAATAAATAAATATTAAAAAATTTTCTCTCTCTCTCTCTCACTCTCTTTAAAAAAATAAAAAAAGAAGAAGAGTTACGGAATTTGAAGACAAGAAACTGGGTGTTATTGAGTCTGAGGAATAGAAACAAAGAAGAAGAAAAGTGACCAGAGTTTAGGGGACCTGCAGAATACCATCAAGTGGATCAACATATGTACTGTGAATCCCAGCAGGAGAAATGGGAAAGAGTCAGAGAGAATATTTGATGAAATAATGCTGAAAACATCCCAAATGTACCAGGCACGATGGCACATGCCTGTTATCCCAGCGGCTCAAGAGGCTGAGGCAGGAGGATCACAAGTTCAAAGCCAGCCTCAGCAAAAGCAAGGTGCTAGGGCTGGGGCTCAGTGGTAGAGCACCTACCTTGCACATGTGAGGCACTGGGTTCAATCTTCAGCACCACATAAAGATATAGTTAAAAAAAATAAAACAAGGTGCTAGGCAACTCAGTGAGACTGTCTCTAAATAAAATATAAATTACGCTGGGGATGTGGTTCAGCAGTCAAGTGCCCCTGAGCTTAATCCCCTGTACCACCCCCCCAAAAAAAAGAAAAACAAAACTTAAGTTTCCCAAATGTGATGAAAGACAAACATACAAGAAACATGAACTCTAGGCTGGGGTTGTGGCTCAGTGGTACAGCACTTGCCTAGCATGTGTGAGGCACTGGGTTCAATTCTCAGCACTGCATATAAATAAATGAATAAAATAAGACAAAGAATTTTGAAGGCAGCAAGACAGAAACAACTTGTCAGACACAGGGGATACTCTGCAGAACATCTCATCAGAAACGCTAGAGGTCAGGAGACATGGGCCAATATATTCAAAGAGCTAAAAGGAGGGGATGGGACAGGGAGGTTGTGGGGGACAGCCAACAACAAATCCTATATTTAGCAAAACAAGCCATCAAAAGTGGGGAAGAGCTAGGCATGGTGGCTCACACTTGTAAACTCAACTACTTGGGAGGCTAAGGCAAGAGGATCACAAGTTCTAGGCTAGCCTGGGCAACTGAGTGAAACCCTGTCTCAAAAAAATGAAAAGGGCCAGGGACATAGCCTACTGGAGGACTTGCCAGCATGCAGAAGGCCCTGGTTTCCATCTGTGTGTGTCACACACACATACACACACAGTGAACAAGAAATTAAGACATTCTCAGGGAAACAAAGGATCAATTACCAGCAGACCTATACTGCATGAAATGCTAACAACGTCCAACAAGGTGAAATGAGATGATACTAGACACTAGACAATAACTCAGAACTATAAAAAGAAATAAGGATCTCAATAAAAAGATATATGGGCAATTATAAAAAGTATTACTGTAAAGATGGTTTGCATTTACTTTTTTGTTTCCTATATAATTTAAAATATTAACACCTTTAAAAAAATTAGTCTAAAAGCCAACATTATAACAACTTTGGTTTAAACTACACACTTTATTTTCTATTTTTTTTAATGTACTAGGGATTAAACCCAGGGGTGCTTTATGACTGATCCACATCCCCAGACCTTTTTATTTTGAGATAGGGTCTTGTTAAATTACTTCCTGGTTAAATTGCTGAGGCTAACTTTGAACTCCCAAGTTGCTGGGATTACAGGCATACACAACACACCTGGCTATTTTCTACATAAATTATTAGCTTATGTTGGACACACAATGTATAAAAATGAAATCATGTGACACTAACAACTGAGGCAAGAACTGTATATCATTTTTATGTTATTGAACTTAATGTGTACAAATTCAAATCAAGTGCATTTAGTGCTCAATGTAATTCCCACAGCAACTTCAAAAAAAATCATTATAGAATACATGTAACAAGAGCCAAGAGCAGTGGTGCACACTTGTAATCCCAGCGGCTCAGGAGGCTGAGACAGGAGGATCGCAAGTTCAAAGCTAGCTTCAGAAAGGGTGAGGCCTTAAGCAACTCAGTGAGATCCTGTCTCTAGGGAAGTGCCGGAGTTCAATTCCTGGTCATCCCCTCCCCCCCAAAAAAAGAAGAAAAGGACATTAAGCATTAATTAAAGGTTCTATATTACAAGAAAACATAACAATTATAAATATTTAGACAGGATGGCAGACCACCAAAAATATATGAAACAAAAATAGAATTGGCCAGGTGAGGTGTCACATGCCTATAATCTCAGCAAGAGGCTAAATGGGAGGACAGAAAGTTTGAGAATAGCCTCAGCAACCTACCAAGGCCCTAAGCAACTTAGTAAGATCCTGTCTCAAAATATTAAAAAGATCTGGGGAGTGGCTCAGTGGTGAAGTACCCCTGGATTAAATTCCTAGTACAAAAAAACAAAACAAAACACAGAACTGAAGGGAGATACAGAGAATTCTACAATAATAGTTGGAAACTTCAAATAGCCCCCTCTCAAATGGATAAAACAATAAGACAAAATAAGAAATGACCTAAATAATACATTAAAACAACAAGACTTGAAAATCACATATAAAACACTCCTTCCAATAACAGAATACACATTGTTCTCAAGTGCACATGGGAAATTCTTAAGTACAGGCCACATATTGGACCACATATTAAGTCTCAACATAATTTTAAATTATCAGGTACCATATGAAGTTTCTCTGATAACAACAGGATGAAATTAGAAATGAATTTGACAGAAGTGAAAGTGGAAAATTCAGTAAACTGTGGAAATTAAACAACACACCCTTAAACAACCAAAGGTTTATACACCATAGCCAAGTGAGATTTATTCCTAGAAGGCAAGGATTATTCGACACACAAAAATCAATTAATGTGGGGCCAGGGTTGTGGTTCAGTGGTAAAGCACTTACCTAGCATGTGTGAAGCACTGGGTTCAATCCCTGGCACCACATAAAAATAAACAAATAAAAAATACAGGTCCATCTACAACTATAATAAATTTTTTAATCAATTAATGTGACTCATCACATTAACAGAACAAAGAGGAAGCAGATGACAAACTCAATACTTTTTCAAGATAAAAATACTCAACAAACTAAGAATAGTTTACCTAAACATAATAAAATCTACACATGAAAAATCCATAGTGAACATCATTTTTAGTCTTAAAAGACAGAAAGCTTTTGCTCTAAGATCAGGAGCAAGCAAGGATACCCACTTTTGCCACCTGTGGTCAACAAAGTACTAGATGTATTTGTCAAAGCAATTAAGCAAGAAAAAGAATGAAAGGCATCTAAATTGGAAAGGAGAAAGTAAAATTATCC